ATTTTGCTTAAATCCGTGCGGTAGTCTTCTTAGTCCTACAAAAAACATAACGAACTTAAAGGGATATTCCGTTTGTTTGTAAAAACTTTTTGTGAAAATTTTGAATTTTTTAAGTTGAAACTTTCAGATACATTTCTCTAGATTTTGGTGTATAGTTTTTATAAATTTGAGCAAACAAATTTTTCGACCTACCAAAAAAACAGAATGCTCCTTTAAATTTACGGTGCTTGCTGGCCATGGTGATTTTAAAATGATCAGGCAATTTCGAATAACTTCGACAGTTTTCAAAATACACATTTTTGGAAAACTTTGTGCAAATTAAACTACAAATTTCCATAAAACTACAAATAACAATATTTAATTTAGTTAATGTCTTCCTTGCTACACTGCAGCTCCAGTATAAAGGATACCGAAACATATCCGTCATAAAGAGCTAGACATTTCAATGTAAATGTTGGATCTCTATTGAATCGGATTGTCTTTCCACTACCGATCTGATTTCCGACTCCTAACACAACGTCTAGTGACGCTTCACTCCATGTCAACCAGAATGGTTTAAACCGTTCCGGCTCTAGCATAAAGTAGTTATCGTAAGTAGATGTTTCAAACCTTCCAGTCTTCGATTTTACTCCAGTCCACTTGTTTCCCCCACCCCCTATAATTATTACATACACATAATTGTTAGGGTGGGTTTCATTAAAAAGTCCAATAATTCCATCATTTCCACCTTTAATCCAGATCATTTTACTGTTCTGATACTGTACGTTATGGAATTCTGTAAAAGTCCTGTCGCTATTTTGAGGCATTTTGATTATTCTGCTGGTAAGTGTATTCATTATCACAATAATCATGAAAATAACACGAACTAGAGTAGCGTAGTTGAAGAACATTATGATCCTTGAGTATATCACAATATAAACACCAATATCTGTTTCTCTATGACACTGAAACTTTAGTAGGTTCGTTTTTCTGCCCAGTAACTGTCTATTCCTATGGTTCCAATCTGGCTCCCAAATAATTTACCAATCCTTAGTGGTGTTTGTATAAGTCTTTATATCTTTTTGTTTCACTTGGTTTTTAGATTATGTTGCAAATATATCTAATAATTCTTACAATATATCAAAAAAGAACATCCTACTTTTATTGTCCACAACGTTTCACCAAATTACATTGTCGCGAGAAAGCGAGGGTAAAAAAAGGCGAGAAAAAAAGCGAGAAAGCGAGTAAACAGGCGAGAAAATAGGCGAGAAAAAGGCGAGCAAGCGAGANCANTTTTCCTCGCTTTCTCGNCTTCTCGCCTNTTTTNCTCTCGCTTTCTCGCCTTTTTCCTCGCCTTTTTTATCCTCGCTTTCTCGCCTTTTTCCTCGGCTTTTTCCTTGACCTTTTCCTCGCACTTTTCCTCGCCTTTTTCCTCGCCTTTTTCCTCGCAATTTTTCATTCATCTTTATCATTGCACATGTTTTTTCAAATTATTGATTTAATTGAATCAATGAAAAATTCAAAAAACATACATGTTATTCCATGCATGCGGTATTTTGCATTTTGAATTGAAAATCGGTACCTATGTCAGTCGGTCCGTTCATATTATTGGTAATCGAATGAGAAACTAGCATTAAGTCGATTTTGTTTATTAAAGAATAAAAATTGTATATATATGTTTACGAAATGGGATGGGCAACAAACAAATGCGTCTCCTTTTCTATTTTGTATCTATCTATGAAATTAACTCATGTTTACCCCTTGTTCTTTATTTCATCAGATAACGACACGTGTATACCAAAATATATTCCATTGTGTTTATATTAAAAGCCTATTATGTAATATAACTATGGTCCTTGGAATTGATTTATCGATGAAATAAGTATTCATTTATAATTAGATAATGAATATGCCTATCAACTGACGTCTTATGCCTTGTTAAACATGATCTGGAATTTAGTTTTCAACCAATTATAAATCTTAGGGAGTATAGGTTGTAATTTGGTACTAATGACAAACTTACGAAAGCACAGGTACAGGACTTTTAACTTAGTGTGTAATTTGAAAAGAAAGAGTATTTATATCGTTATCGAATATCTTCATTCTTTCTTTGCATGATAGCACTTATTTTTTGTGAAATTGCAGGAACCACAGGATCTGACTGAAAATTGGAATGGTGCAAATTGATGCTAAGAAAACTTTACAATCCCTTTAGGTATACATTTACTTAATTGAAAATAGAAATAATTGTACACTCTATTGACCTTCCAAAAGCAAACCCTGTTGTAAAACCTGATTGTAGAGTCGATTCCCCAGAGTAGTAAGAATGATCGATTTTGCTAACTGCAAACTAACTATTATTTTTTATGGGAATTAAAACAATTTGCTGTTTCTGATAACAAGCTAGGGTTAGTCATCACATCATTATTATCAACCAATCAGATTCATTTGTTCTCTACTTTACCATAAACGCAAAGGGACAGTATGCAAAATTCTAATTATCAAAAACGTCATAAATTATACCTGAAATATTTCTTTAAAATGCTATTTAGATCAAACTGGATTTGTTTTTAAAGGACTAAAAACGGAGCGCACGCATTGTTAATTAAGCAGTTTGACAAGTTTTGGTGTTTGGCTGGATTATGACTGGATATATTGAAAGTTATAACTAAAAAATTCCAGCCAAAACTTTACGTAAAAGGTAACCTTTTTATCTTCAGTATGCTTTTTGAAAGCCGTTCGAAAACTATTGTACGGATTTGAGTAAAGTAAACGTCTAATTGTAGAGAAATATGTCGTTACGTTTTCTTAGGATTTCAACTAAATATTACCAGCCATTATAAAACCATTCACCGAAACTAGATTAAAATGCTTAATTAACAATTAGTACTCTCAGTTTTTAATTAACCCTTTTAAAACAAATTCAGTTTGATCAAGTAGATACATAGATATAAAAAGAATACTTTAGAAATATTTTCAGGTATAAATGAAATGAAATGAATGGAGTTTTACGTCCTACTTTTCTGCACCATGTGGACTAATGAAGACAGGCGACGCCATGCAGGGTACAATTAGGGACATTTTGCCAGGACAGCGGCATTAGCGTGCTCTTTTTCGATTTCCAACTGTCGAGGGATCTTTAACGTGCACAGCCTGTAGCACACGGGGACTCGGTTTATTGTCCCATCCGAATGACTAGACGCTTTTTCCATGTCAGCCCCTCTTACCTGTATCACTGGAAACGAGGTTGAAAAATCCGAAGTTATCATCTCGACCTATGCCGGGATTGAACCCGGGTCCTTCATGTTTTTCCGGTATAATTTACGACGTTTTTGATAATGAAAGTGTTCAACGAAAAAGGCGGAATGCCCCTTTAACAGGTTTATGTAAACTTTTGAATAGTTTTGGCGTTAAAAATTTAACGGCCGGATTTTTAATTTAAAACTTTCAGATACATTTCTCAGGATATTGGTGTATAGTTTTCATAAATTTGAGCAAAAGATTTTCAATCCTCAAAAAACAGGATGCCCCTTTAAATTTACGGTGCTTGCTGGCCCATGGTCATTTTAAAATGATCGCACAATTTCGAATACCTTCGACAGTTGTCAAAATAGCAGTTTTACACATATTTGGAAAACTTTGTGCAAATTAAACTACAAATTTCCACAATTTCTCTATGACACTGAAACTTTAGAAAGTTCGTTTTTCTGCCCTATAACTGTCTATTCATATGATTTCAATTTCAAATTTCAACAAATAACATTGTCATCATCAGTTTATATGGTATACTTATCCAAATCTTTATTGTACACAAAGTTTCAACAATTTACATTTCAATCATCACATGAATATAACAATTTTCTGCTTTACATTCCAAGCTAAAAACTCCATGATATACCATAAACTCGTATCACGTAAAGCAAGGGTCACACAAGCGTATTTTTTGCGCTTGATAATAGTGAATTTTAAAATCGCTGAAAAAATTGCCTGTGTGCCCGTTCACGTGAACGACGATTTTATACACCATTATGAATCGACTGCATTAAAAAATTGTTTGATGTTTTTGGCCTATCATTTTTCCAAGCAATCGATATATTGAAACCAATCGCACGTAATGTTGATATCAGGATCGATAGAAAATTCAGCTCACTGGCTAGTCTCTGTCACCCGGACTTCTCCTTTTCTTCGATGAGGTAGTATTCTTTCATAGCAGCTGTATATAGTCAAAGTGGTATCAGACGATACAGGCTACCAACTGGCGTACACCGCCATGTATGCCCCTTACTGTTTGGTCGTAAAAATTCGCTTACGAAGAAACAGGCTCGTGGACCCCTTGCATAATATTTCCATTTTCTAACAAAAGAGCTTTTTTTTTATAATTTTTTTCAAACATCATAGAAGCTGTTTATATATTCAGAGAAGAAAAATGTTAGACAGAATTCTATGTTCATTTATTAATGCCGATTTTGATTCATTTCAATCTCTGTTTTGTATTTGTCGTAGTTTATTACATAGAATTAATCATGCACACACAGTCTCAGCATACCAAATCTAATGTATTGAATATGTCAAGTGAAGGCGATAACAACCAAAGGTTATGTTTGTAATTGAACACATTAACTGTCTTTCCAATGATGAAAAAGCCGGCTTTAAGCTAGCTTTCGTGTGTTTCCACTGAGTAAAGTCACCTCTCTTTTTGCGTTCTGGAATTTATCAGGGGCCAAATGAAAGCTAATTTAGAGCCCGCTTTTCTTTACAATTCTCGGTTCTCGGAAACGCGGTTAATGAACAACACCAGGTTATTCAAATGTGATATATACGCTAATCGTTCGTGATTTCCGAGGCAAAAGTAGATACAAAAAAAAAACACAGTTTATTTCTCGTCTGCAGTAACCTACTCTATAACCATCAAACCAGATACTTTAATACACACTGGGGGTACTATAATACACACCGAGGTACTATAATACACACCGAGGTACTATATTTCACTCCGAGGTACTATATTACACAACGATGTACTATAATACATACTGCGGCACAATAATACACATCGAGGTTACTATATTACACACTGAGGAACAAACATATATACAAACTATAATACACATAGAGATACTATAATACACGCCGAGGTAAAATAATACACATTGAGACCCTATATTACACACTGACATACTATAATACGCACTGAGGTACAATAATACACACTGAGATACTATATTACACACTGAGGTACAATAATACACACCGAGGTAAAAAACAAATACACACCGAGGTAAAATAATACACATTGAGATACTATATTAAACACTGATGAACTATAATACACACTGTGGTACTATATTACACAACGATGTAGTATAATACTCACCGAGGTACTATTACACACAGAGGTACTGTAATACACACTGCAGTACTATACTACACACTGAGTTACAATAATACATATTTGGGTACTATATTACACACCGAGGTACAATAATACACATTGACGTGCTATATCACACCGGGGTACTATATTACACACCAAGGTATTATAATACACACTACGGTACTATATTACAGAACGATGTAGTATAATACAAACCAAGGCACTATATTACACACCGAGGTACTATAATATACACCAGGTACTATATTACACACCGAGGTACGATAATACGCACTAAGGTACTATATCACACAGCTATATTGCACGCTGAGATACTTTAATACAAACCAAGTACTGAAGTTCAATACCACACATTAAAATACTATACCACACACTAAAATACTATACTACACACTAAAATACTATATTACAGGCTAAAATACTATACTCCACTATCTAAAATACTATATTACAGACTAAAATACTATATTACACACTAAAATACTATATTACACACTACAATACTATATTACTCACTAAAATACTATATTACACACTAAAATACTATATTACAGACTAAAATACTTTACTCCACACTAAAATACTATATTACAGACTAAAATACTATACTACAGACTAAAATACTATACTACACACTAAAATACTATACTACACACTAAAATACTATACTACACACTAAAATACTATATGGCACACTAAAATACTATATGGCACACTAAAATACTATATTACAGACTAAAATACTATACTCCACACTAAAATACTATATTACAGACTAAAATACTATATTACACATTAAAATACTATACTCCACACTAAAATACTATATTACACACTAAAATACTATACTCCACACTAAAATACTATATTACAGACTAAAATACTATACTCCACACTAAAATACTATATTACAGACTAAAATACTATATTACACATTAAAATACTATACTCCACACTAAAATACTATATTACACACTAAAATACTATATTACACACTACAATACTATATTACACACTAAAATACTATATTACATGTGAACTCACAGACGTCTGATTTAAAATTGGAATGCTGCAAATTGATGCTATCAGTATCCCTTTAATACATCCACTTCCGCTTCCAGAAAAATAATTTATGTCAGATGTGTGCCACGCCCTCAAATATCACACAAGGGTGTTTAAATCTATAGAGTACATACAGTACGTGACACAATGAAATGGACACAATGTTAATGTCTTGCGTCCAACATTGTGTTTAAAATCTTCAGTTCTGTGAAGAGCGCACTGGGATCTATATCCATTCATGGTCCATAACACCCATCGGACGAAATGTTGTGCGTCGATCATTTGGACCTTTTGATATGCCTCCAATCCAATGATCTATTTATTAAAAGATTTCTATTATTATTTGAAGAATTATAGGAATTATGAGTTTTTCATTGTTAAACATCAAGCCCATAGCCAGACTTGATCGTTCGGAGGGGCAAGTAATATATCCGGAGAGGCAATGGTGTATAGATGCAGTAATGGCATTTTAGTTTCTGTTTTCTGAATTTTTTCTCTAGGGCAATCCAATTTTTCGTGGGCATTCCCCATCCCCGCCCATGTCCCCGTGTAGCTAACCACTTAACTTAACCTCACAGAACACGATTTGAAAAATTTTGTCAGTAATGATAGATGGTCTTTGATTCTGATTGTGTGAGCGACAGCAAATGTTTAATTATACTGAAAGTCCATACACATATTTCAGAAGTAGTAGATGAATAAAGGGAGGTTACTTCATTTTAAATGAAAATATCAGACCACAGTATTTTTTTTATTTTTATCATGACGTGAGAACTGATTCAGACCACACCAAGGTCCAATTGCGATCATTCATTAGGTGTTCTAGTGGAGCGAGCATGACTGCTGTTGATGATGTCTGCCACTCTAATTCACAAATCCGCGAGAATGATTGACAGCTCAATATTGAACAATTCTCTTCACATCAGTTTTACCCACAAACATTAAATCAACAATGCTTGTGTCATAAAAGAAATTTAATTTTGATAACTCGTGTGTATCTGACACTCTCTGGTAGGGAGATGTGCATGGGGTACTTTCAATGCAGACGAAAGATATCCAGAAAGGTCATTTTGTGTGGTTGTGTTAATTAACAACTGGCTTAAGCTGTTTCGCGGATTCGTGAATTGCTCAGGAAATTTGAATTTCTTTCTTTGCAATTTGTATCCAATACATTATGCTTTATTAAAATTGTTTGATTTTTTTCTGTATACCGTATAATTTCAAGTATTAACCGCATAAGGTGAATGAGTATCGTACACAAATATCTTCTAAATATCAAATGAAGTGCATGAATTTGAACCAATCAAATTTTCAGTCAGACGTCTGTGGTTCCTGCAATTCACGTTTCTAATCGCAAAGTGTGATAAAGCATGTTTGTGATCAAACACTTATTTTTGTGAAATTGCAGGAA